TTATTATTATTATTATTATTATTATTATTAGTACTACTACTACTATTATTATTAGTATTATTATTGCTTCTATTATTATTGTTGTTGTTTATAATTATTGTTTATAATTGTTGTTTATAATTTGTACAATTAACCTCCCTGTGGTTCGACCCCGGTCTTGCCGGGTTATTTATTACTTCGACACTCCTGCACTTGGGAGAAGACATCAATCTTTTAGTCGTGTCAAGTTTTTGGCGCCGTTGCCGGGGAGGTAAGTTCTTGTATAAATTATAGTATTTATTTTATTTTCTCTTTTCACTTTTCTTGTATATAACTTTGTTTCTTTTCTTTTGTTTCTTTTTATTTTGTTTTCTTCCTCCTTCTTTTGCTTTCTTGTTCTTCTTTTTATTTTATTCCTACACGTGCATGAGAGTGTGGTCACGTACATCAAGTGGTAGACTTTGTAGGGTATCCTCATCATTTTCAGAAAATATGGCCGAAGAAGATAATCAATCACTTCATAATGAGAATAATGAGAATAACCGTGCTAGAACACTTAGAGACCACATGAATCCCACAAGAACAAGTGCACCATCATGCATAGTTTTTCCTCCTGATGCATCTCATTTTAATTTTAAACCAGGTATTATTCAACTTTTACCTTCTTTTCATGGTTTGGAATTGGAAAATCCATACTTGCATTTAAGGGAATTTGAGGAGGTCTGCAACACATATAATAATTTAAATTGTAGCATGAACACCATCAGATTAAAGCTTTTTCCTTTTTCATTAAAAGATAAAGCTAAAACATGGCTACAAAATTTAAGACCAGGATCCATTCGTGCTTGGGATGAAATGCAACAACAGTTTTTGAAGAAGTTTTTCCCATCTCATAGAACAAACTCTTTTAAGAGACAAATCACCACTTTCACTCAAAAACCAGGAGAAACATTTTACCAATGTTGGGATAGGTATCGAGACTTGCTTAGTACTTGCCCTCATCATAGTTTTTAAACATGGAGATTGGTTTCACATTTTTATGAAGGGTTAACACCTAGAGATAGGCAAATGGTTGAATTGATGTGCAATGGAACTTTTGAAGATAAAGACCCTAATGAAGCAATGGAGTACCTAGACTTGCTAGCTAAAAATGCTCAAAATTGGAACACTACAGGCACGTATAAGACTCCAAGTAAAATCTAACCTTATACATCTAATGGAGGTATGTACAACCTAAGGGAAGATCATGACCTCCAAACCAAGTTTGTATCTTTAGCTAGAAAAGTTGAGGTACTAAAATTAAAAATGAGTGGTCAATTAAAATTTATTCAAGACATTATGTGTCAAATTTGTGAAACAAATGAATACTCAACCAATGATTGTTTAACGTTGCTTTCTTTTAAGGAATGTCTTCATGAACAAGCTCATGCTTTAAACAGTTTCCAAAGGCCCAACCATAACCCATACTTGCAAACACACGACCCTGGTTGAAGAAATCACCCAAATTTCAGTTAGAAGAGTGACAATGTACAAACTTCACAACTACAGTTTTAAGTGCATTATAATTTCCAAAATTCTTATGGATATGCACCTCCTTATGCTCCCTCTTCTAGAAAAAATCTTGAGGAAACATTGTCTGCATTCATTGAAAAGCAAGAGATAATCAATACTCAACTTACTTAAAACATGACAGATTTTAAAGATACTCTTGCAAAATTGGCATCTGCTCTTAGTTTCCAAGAGAAAGGTAAGTTTCCATCTCAACCACAATAAAATTCTAAGGGGCAATACAATGCAAATGCAAGTAGTTCTGGAAGTCAACACATGAATCAACTCAAATCAGTCATCACTTTTCGCAGTGGTAAGGTTATTGAAAAACCAACTCTTAAACCTTGTGAGAAAGACGATGAGTCAATTTCTAAGGGTAAGGAAGGGGTTGAATCTGAATATTATAAGAAAAAGATTGATTCCCCGGCAGTACTTTCATTTCCTCATGTCATGACCAAATAAAGGGAAGTTAATCACGATTGTGAAATCTTTGAGACTTTCAAATAGGAAAAAATCAAGGATGAAAAAGCCACCAGAAATGCTATCACGAATCATTTATCAAAATTGGCAATAGATTCAACATCCGACATCACACCAATCGATGATTACTTTTTTGTTGAATATTTACTTTCTCTTAGTTCAATGCCTTAGTTTGCTAAAAATATCAATTTTTTTGCTTCAGAATTTTTGCCAGCTCATTCGGATAACCAAGATAAAATAAAGTTTTTAAGCGACGAGCAAAACTTTTATTGGGATGACCCTTACTTATTCAAATATTATTATGATCAAATATTTCAAAGTTGCATTCCTGACAATGAGGTAAGTAGTGTCATTAAATTTTATCACTCTAAGACATGTGGAAGTCATTTCTCATAAAAAAACAACTGCAAAAATCTTACAAAGTGGATTTTATTAGTCCACCATGTTTAAGAATTCACATGCATTCTGCAAAACCTGTGAAAATTATCAAAAAATGAGATTTATTTCAAAACATAAAGAATCTTTAAATAATCTTCTATTGACTCTTAAGTCTCATCATAGTGGGTATATGCATTATGCAATTCATGACTTATGAACTCATTTTCATAAAGAACATGCTCGACATAGTCTTAGGAATCTAACTAAAAAAGATCATGTTTGCTGGTTTTTAAGAAAACTAGATAGGAAGCCTATCCCTGACCCATATAAGATGTTTAAGCTGTTCTTGAACCTAAAATCAAGGGATGATGTGAGCCGCAATCACAACTACGATTTGAGTCTTAATTTGTAAAAACTTATGTCTTTTGGTTTTATTAATAGCATAATATTTGTGTTTTATTGTTTCTTATATTTGTTTAAGTGTGTTTCAGGTTTATTAATGTTCGATGTTTCAAGTGATGTCTTCTATACTCTATCTTTCTACCTTAGGACATTGAGAAAAATATCTCGTTTTGGTTGAGGGGGAGAGGGTAGTAGTTGATATTAAAAAAAAACTAACTATGTTTTTTTTTCATAAACCTTTTGCAAACTGTTATTACTAAAATAGCAGAGCAAGGAAAAAATTTATTGACTCTTGAGATGAATTTTGGTTAACATTTTTCAATGGTTATTTGTAATATTCATAACAAGGTCTATCAAAATATTTCTTGAAATATTCAGGTTTACAAACTCTCGTATTGTTATCACTTAATTCTACTCATATACTCATTTAACATGTACTCTTAAACCTTAATTTTAACACACACACTTTAACATATGATTATGGGTTGCACACTGAATTATTACATTATTTATGTTCTTTTATTAAAGAGCAAAAAAAATAATGATAATAAAAATATAGATAAGTTTGGTTTCGTAGCCTCCTTAACCTAAGCAATTAAGTCTGAAGGGGTGTTTTAACACCTAATACCCTAAAGTGAACTGACTTGGGAGCTATTGACTCAATGCTTGTTACATGGGTTTAGGAGAAAAGCTTAAGGAAATTAAACATTGTATTATCTACGTATTAGTATCAGCAACCCGAGTTACTAAGCTCGTAGGGTTGTCTCAACACCTAATACCTTAAGACCAATTGGTCTGGGAGTCATTAGCCGAAAACTTGTTACATGGGTTAAATATGCATTGCGTTTTAAGTTACATATATGTATATTTTAAAAAAAAATCT